TAGCTAGGTGGAGAGAGAGATTAATTACTGAATCTTTGTTCATCGAATCCACACCCAACACATGTAATAGGAATGACGCAACACCTATACCAGAGATATGGAAAACTTTACTACCAATCAAAAACAAAAAAACAAAGAGAGATCAGGTGACAGGACTATAAAATCAGATGTCGAAAGAAGTGTGATTACATTGATATGATTATGAGCAATAATTTATGCTCGAAACGTAATCAAGTAAATAATACTGTATCACTGTGCGCTTTATATCAAATAAACAAATCTAATATGGAACTACATTCTACCACAGTGCCCAAGTTTTTCACTTATATTAATGCATAAAACATTGTTTAAAATAGTGAAGACATGCTGATGCACATTAACCTCGCCGAGGACAGAAAAAAGAATGGCTGCCGAGGCACCTCCATCAAAAGATATCTGTCTAACTCGCAGTCAACCGAAATGTCATTCTTTGGAAGCAGCTAATATTGATTTGCCTTACGTGAAGAACGTCTCAGAAGTAGTAACTAGATCACTGAACCAATTCAGAACATTTGTATCTCACAAGTCTACAAAATCTGTTCACTCTCCGTAATATATGCCGAAGGGTAGAATGACACAGGAAGACATGCCAAATGTTATCTACAAAATAAACTACAAAGACTACAAAGAACACTATATGGGACACAGTGGTCGTCTTCTTCATACTCATCTACATGAACGTGGACTAACAGTAAAGCGTCATGACATGTCTTTGCTCATATCATTACAGACAGACTACTTCGGACAAGAAGTGAACTGCGAAATATGGAAATCCTTAATAGAGGAAGAACGAAAGATGCCGGAGAATTTCTAGAAACCTGGAAAAAGAAACAGTCCAGTTGTTGATTAACAGACATATTAAGAGTGACCAGACCTGTCGACTCAAAGAAATATAAGAAACAACAAGGAGGTAAAATTTTATGTCAGCAGGATAGCCAATGGAAATATGTATTTGAACAATGACAAGAGTTTAGCAACAAAATCGACCACACTCAATGTTATGAGGACAAGGTATTAAGCCACTTGTGGCGAAAATCTCCTAGCTCACTTCTTTCAGAGGTTTGTGCTGATGATGTAGTCTAGAATGAAAATGAAAGCTTCACGATTCAAACTTCTAGCTCAGAGAACATCAAACTCCCGAAATCATTCTCATAAGCTAAACATATTCTCCTTCATACGATTTAATTTCTTAGATCCATCTGGCATGTAAAGATATGGATGATACAAGCTGTTTGATAATGGAAGAACGGTGGCTGTCAGTCACAGGACTGTGTAGCTTTTCCCGTGAAGATCTCCCCAGTCCTCTTTCATAGAGAGACAAACGAATTTAAAATCAAAGAAAATTCCCATAGAATGTTTCGGCGTAGATACTTCGAGGAAGTTTTAACATATCTAGTTAATCGGGAACAAATGCACTTCTGCCCATCACTTAAAAAAATTTTAATTCATTTTTGTAGCTTGCTTCATAATATCAAAGTTAATCAAGCATACCAATGCTCTCAGAACCCTGTTCCAGATATTGGATGGTGATATGGAGATAGTATACTGAATAGAGTTTTGGTAAGCTTAAGTGTACCTCAGTGGGAATGCAAATTATATTCTTATTTTATTCTATTCATCTACTAATATTCCAACAGTAATGAACAAACGAGGGAGACAATAAGACTTACCCATTTGTTTGGCACTACGGAGCAAGACGTTTTGAATTTTCTAGTCCTGAAGTCTGACTGAATCTTATAGGTCATTGTGTAATTTGGCACCAAGCTAAGGGACTCAGCATCGTGGTCCACAGTGATAAATGTCAGTTGGTTGAAGGCAGTTGGAAGAAGCCGTGCACCTTGGTTTCGTGCCTTTAGGCACTCGTCAGCAAGGCTTATCCGTAACAACGAGGGAAGTGATGTCTCCTCTGAGAGTCACACTCACATCATCTAGTCAACGACGTTGCAACTGAGCTATTCAGGACACTGTTGACCTCCTGCAGGACTGGATCGGATACATTGGCTGGTTGCTGAACAAAAATCAATTTCATGATGCCTTTCTGATGAGTGACGGTAAGCACAAAATCTTGGTTTAGGTTTCCTACTGACCACCTCCAACCAACTTGAAGAATAAGAATTATATGTTCATGTGACTGCAAAGTGATATCACCATCATCTCTCCTTATCTCAGAAATCATGAAACATTTGTTACTTTGATTTGTATTATACTACAAACTTCAAAACCTATCACTTTCACTGCTGCATTCAGATTTGCGTTCCAAAGAAATGGTAATTTGCGTATCTCTAAGTGATGCAAAACAGCAATCAGCTAAGCAAAAAAATTATCTCATGAAGATCTAGTGATGAAATTAGTATACTGTGAATTCACTTTTTGCATACTTTTCTTTTTAACTGAACATTGAGAATGAATTTTTATTTTTAGAAAGTTGATAATAATAATAATTCACTTCCCACTTTATAGTAGTAATACTGGAGAGTGATTAGTACACTGTAATTATTGCCAATATTTGCACTTCTAAACAAAGAATCTGATTTATAAGTATTTCAAATACTCTGAGGTCTGAAGAAACAAGCAGGTTCTTCAGTCGTCTTGCAAATGTCTAAAATCACTCTTATAGTACCCCTTACGAATAAGAACTAATGTACAAACGATGAAAACTACCTTAACTCACTCAATAAGAAGTTTTGTTTTGTCATGGATAAGCAGATAGAATAACACAGCCTGGTCGAGCTCCAACAGGGATGAAACCTAAGACTAGTAGAGCTTCCCGTCAAATGACTTAAATCACCTTGTCGAATTCTACAGAGTTGAAGTCATGCTGATATTTTCTTCTTTTGAATTGAATAGCCATGATGAAAGGACATACATATTGAAGAAAAGTGTTGAATTGGATAACTGCCTTAAGCATTCTTTGCAATGATTAAGTTCCAGGTAAAGTATATCTGTTATGAAAGACTGTCAAATCAGACAGTTAAAAAGCTAACGTATCATTGGCATTTCTTGATTTTGCATATAACCAAGTCAGTTTGTTAAGGAGTATTATCAATTTAATTCTTAATTAGCTTGCATTGAAATGGAAAACAACTCTCATATATATCATGCATATTAAAAGTCTGCAAACAAATAACATAAAGTAGCGTCAATTAAAACTCAAGTAAGCCTTATAAAGAAAAGATTCATTTAGTTATGGAAGTTTTTTTATACACTGCCTATCCATTTTCTCACGTAGTATGCTGTAACACAGTTCTACATCATTCTAATAAGTTTTATTACACTGAAGAATCAACCACAAAAACGGTTTGACTGAAGAAATAATTGGTCTCAATTAGATCTTCTTTATCAGCTCCACACTGATATATATGTTGAACATTTAATAACAAAATAATATTTAGTTGTGAAGGGTTATTTACAAAAGTAATTGCAAACTAGAAGTTAATCACGAGGTTAATTGATAACAGAAATCAAGACCGAAACTGCTGAATATGATAATTGCATAAGTTCATTAGAAAAGTAAAACTGGCCATTAATTCGCTAACTGCGCTACAACTAACATGAAAAAAGAAGAAACAGGGAAAGTGGGTTCGTGTTGATAGTAAAGAATTACGTCAAAGTAGAGTGACCGAAACATAAGGGGACGTAAAACGATCGGAATAGAAGAGAGGGTTCCTTTATTGATGAATAATAGTCAATTAGTTGAAAAATGAATTAAAGTAAAATATTAGTTTACGCTGATGGTCAAGGCAGCGACAGAAGTCGCATAACTTTCTTTTGAATCCATATATTTGATTTTTAGATGTGTTTAGCAATAGCTTCTGCCATGTGTAACAAACGAGTGCATAAACCCCACCGAAAACCGAAGGGCAGACAACAAATAGCTGCCAAAGCCTTGCTTTCATCCATTTCACTACCAGTACCAACCAAATGTTCAAGCACAAAGCTGCGAAACCTCATTTCTTGAAACTGGAATTTCAAGGTGACATTATCAGCGAAACCATAACTTAAATTCTAAGGATAGCTTTCCAGAAAAGCATTCGATCCTGCAAAGTCAAGTCCTATCTTCACTAACCACACATTTTTAGGTGCAGGGTGTAGAGATAGACTTCTTGATTCCAGCTTTTCCACATGCATATATCAGTTAAACTACCTTTGTTGGATTAGACCCATCACTAAGCGACTTCATCCTAGAATATCTGAAAGCCATCCACGGTGACTGAGTAGAGTAAAGGCAAAGAGTGCTCGATATTTAATGTAAGAAATATATATATTAGTGTGGAACTGATAACGAATACATAAATGTAAAGAATTATTTCTTTGCTCAATATATCTTTTATTTAGTGTCTAAAATGGAAATTTTTCAGTGTGAAAATGTTACGCTGAGAATTTGTTGTTTACTTGATGTGTTTGTCTTTCACTTGACGGTAATATATGCAGACGTGTATGTTAACATGCATGGTGTTGTGTATTAACCAATCATTAAACAGAGCAGACATATGTTCACTCTGAGTACATATGATATGATACATAATCTTCTGTAAGTGAAGAATTGCTTCACATTTTGATAACGAACTTCTGCTGGTTTAGTCATCATATTCGCCATCACACATTCGCTTTCTAATATGTAATTCAATGAAAAACTCTTCCTAATTGTATTAACTTTACAGTACAGATTGCAATAGTTGAGTGTCAAGATTCCTGGATTACTGAACAGAATAAACAATTTTCTTCTAAATCAATTGACAATTATTCTGTGTATATTACGGAGGATAAATACTTTGCATGTGTATATATATTCTCAAAGAGAATAATTCACTTTTCGTATATCCAGCTAATTAAATTTGCAAACAGTCAGGTTTTCAAGTTTTTCATGCTGAAACACTTATTCCATATGGAATGATTTTCTTTTTTACGAGAACTTACATCCTTATATTGTAACAAGTATTTCTGAAAAACTCAGAGAATAAATGAGTACAGAAATTGCAACACCTTTACTGGCATTCGGTTGTGCACTGATTATTTTCTTCATATGTGAGTTTCCTATAATTTTACATGCAGATGCTACAGTCGTCCAATTTTTTCAGATTTTGAATTGTTACATTTATGTGTATTGTTTCTGACGTGAGTTGATTTCTGATAGCACTGCAACATGAAAGTAAGGGAAAGTTGTAGGGATCGCTAAGTGATCCACACTTCAGCTAAATGTGGGAGCATCCTCTCTGTAGTCTGGTTCTAAAGTGCTGAAAATTTCAGTTTGCTTTATCACTGATTCATCTTAAACGTGACTGAAGCATCGAAAATGAATCCTAAGCTCACATGGATAGTGTTACTTAAAGTTTGTTATTTATTCCCATAAAAAGCTTCCGTTTTCAAGTGTGTGTCTTCCTCAAAGCATGTCAGGAAATTTTCAACTAACAACAACTTGGGAACAAGTAATTACATAATAAAGCTAATTCGGAAATGAAAAATGCAAATAATGAGAATAAGTCCTCAGGAGAATCTTACTTTCCGAACATTAAATGAGGTTTGATAAATAACCACATTCGTTATCAGATGGTCTGAGTGTTTTGAGAAATTGGGAAGTTAATTTATGTTGTATAACCAAATGTAAGTTTGTGCTTTTTTACTGTCTCCTCCTTTGTCCATTATTATTGAGGGTAAATTCAATCGAAACACCTCCGTAAGTAGACGAGTTCAGTCAGCTGCTAAAAGCATTTGTCAACGCACATTAAACTTGCTGATAGAGTCTTGATTGAACTCGAACATCCATAACTGGGCATTCCATGCTGTTATTTCAGTCGGAGGCGAAATTAAATCTCTCTTTAGCATCATACACATTATTTATCATACTGTATGAATATCCTAAATTATTAAACAAACCTCAACAGTAAAATAACTGTTTAAGACGTCACTTTGGGAGAAAACTCGTTTTCCTGGAAAAATAAATATGGTACATGCCATTGACGTAAGCTTAGAGAGGCATAATCCGTTTTCCAGTCGTATTTATTATTAAGTTTCCTTTTTAATCTCTTGTTTTGAGTCCTCAGAATTGACTGCACTACTGATCATTGTTTCACCATAGGCCTCCGATCCTGTTATCTTGAAAAAATCCCATCAAATAGTGAAGAAAAGGAATGAACTAAATCATGAATAAGAATAAAATCAGCTAATTGAATTTCACGTCTACTATCATATGCAATATAATGAATTCTTACAAGTAGCGATAACCTGATATACTTTAAATTTGTATCAACAAAAAAAGGCCGAAATTCACAACTAGCAACAAGGTAGTAAGTCCAGGAAAAATAAGAAGCAATCAACTGAAATTTCAATGAAAGTCTATAGCAAGCTTTTGGGACTGTGGGAGATTTAGTAACTTCAACCCTTGGTGATTGAACTGAAATAGAAATCTTGTCAGCAGTTGAGCCTTATAGCTCAATTGATAGAGCACCGGACTAGAAACCTGGTGATTGCTGTTTTGAATCCCACTCTGGTCTAAATTTTCACTCCACCTTCAATCATCACCCATTATCAGCTGTAGAAAGAAGAGTAAGTCACGAGGGTTTGAACGAAGAAAATTACAAACTTTCACAGACTACCCGAACACATAGATCATTAAAAGAAATTAAAATAAAAATGATGCAGTCAAAATTTCCTTTTCAGTCATCAGGTAAAATTGCTGCGATTTTTTAGTGGCTAGCAGTGGACTTGGGGAGGCGCGTTTCAGTCCATTTCGGGCTTGTCAGCTAGACGTACCTCCTTCATAGTGAGTGATGTGAGGCTCTAACACAAGGCCGATCACTTTAAATGTCCCAGTGTTATCCACTAGTCCAATGAGTCACTGTAGGTACTCCTTGTTCGATTAGTACATCATGAGTTTTATGTCACCACATGTACCTCCCCGTCGTTGATTGGCCCATCATCCTCATCCCGAGCTAAACATCTTTCCTATCATTTCGAAATATCCATAATTAATATTAAAATCGAAAATCCCTGTAATATTGTGGCATCCGCTCAGGTGCCCGCATGCAGTAATGGCAGATAAATTGAGTCCCATCAATGGTGGAGAAGTACACGCTATTACATCCAGAAAGCTTCGCCATACTTGTCACACAAGGAGTACCTATAGTGACTCATTGGCCTAGAGAACAATGCTTTGGGGTTCGAGGAGATCGATCGTGGGTTCAAGTTCCACTAGGACCAACATCATTCACTAGGAGGCAGGTACGTCCAGCTGCAAATAGTTGCAAATAGAATGAAATGTGTGTCGTTAATTCCACTTTTAGCCATTATCCATCAAAAATACTTTCTATTTGTCCTCCTTTGTACGACAAGCGTTAGAAGAAGCTTCTTATATAGATTATTCACAAAATGTAAGAAGCTTATCAATCAATATTTCGGTTTATGTTCCAAGAATTCTAATAATTGACTGTAAAATGTTGATTCATCACTAAGAATTAGTTGCTAAGGCAGTTTATTGGTCAGCATGCAGCTATCTAATTAAGATAACAATAAATAAACAAAAGTCAATACTAGTGATAGATAGTGGCCAACGGTGGAATTTAGGACGCGTGTTTCCGCCCACTCTCGATTCATCAGTGCGATATACCTGCCTTCCACTGAACGATGTTGTTTTCACTAAGGCTCGAACCCGGGACCTATTGCTTCAAACAGTAGAGCGTTATCCATTAGGCCACTGAATCATGATAGCCACCTCTTGTACAGCGGCATATTTCTTATTATGTTGTTGTATTATCCAGTCTGATCAGTTTTATCCAAACGAAGACTGGATAACAGAAGCAACATCAAATAATCATTGTCATTGAAATCAGTCTAAGATGATCTCAAAATGACCAACTTGCGTGCTAAGCATACTCAAACAAACAAACCCGTAGATACTGCAAAGTCAGGAGTAGTCATTAAAATGTTTGTGATATGTCAACCTTACTTTGAAACATTTTAGTAAATTAAATAGCATACACATTTTGGAAAACCTAATGCTTCATCAATAATCCCAGTTACAACTCATTTATCAAGAACGAGTTATGGAATACTTCATCTAACAGCTAACAGAATCTCTTTTTCAGTAAATGTATATGAAAAAGATTTTTGAAAATCTAAATGAAAAATGTTTTAACCAGAAAATCTGTTTCATTTATTCCATTGAAAACTTGCCATATATAAAATTTAGCAATACGTGAAATGAATAGCATATTTATGAGCATGATATCTTAATTTCGAAAAAGGAACTTTTAATTACAGTAAAACTAATTCTCACTAGAATTTATTATCTTTGATAAAAAGAAAAATGCAGACACTTTTGGAATTTGAAACAGTTAGTCCCCTTGATGAATTTGCACAGTGTAATAAGACGGAATTACTTAAAAAAAACAACACATATGAATCATTAAAGTTTTTTACAAAATAATAATATCATGCCGTTTTTATGTAAAGAATGATGATAGAATTTTATTGACTGAAATTTAACCCAAATATCTAAATTGCTTTCGACTGACTCATTGGCCGTCTCATTCAGATTCGATTGTTGCCGTTAACAAGGTTGGAACATATGGTGTCTAGACTGTCAGTTGCAGGTGCTCTACTGAGTGTAACATATAACAGATAGCGAAGTTAAAATATCACTTCAACCACCCAGTCCTTGCCTCAGCAGTTATATGAATCAAGAATATATATCTCTGCTTCATTACACTCACCTACCGATCAGGTTCTCTCGTTCAAGCTTAAATATTTCTGAGTTGACTCAAGGAGTCACTAGTTTAAATTGATGGTGTTCGAATTTGTAAATGATTCAAGTGAGTATGAGGTCTGCTTTGCTATCTATTTTTGAACGTCAGTCAGTATTATATAGGCTCTCAGTCGTAATCTGTCCACAGCCTAAGCTAATCCTACTGCTATCCATCATGCCTGAATAGACTTTTGAAAATTTCTTCTCACTGTATGATTTGCTTCAAAGTATTGATAACGTGTAATTACGGGGTCTTTGCATGTATATGCACTGTCACCTGTCGCTAAAATCTCTTTGAATGTGTGATTTATAGGTTATGGTGTGCAAGAAGTGGCAATCATGCCTCAATGGTTTAGTGGTAATTGAAGTGACTAGTACGAGGTTTGAGTCTCAGTGGGAAAAAAACACTCACTGGGCTAAAAGTATATCCAGCTGACTAGTCTCAGATAGGACGAAACGTGGGTCCTGGATTTAGTTGCTAGCCACAATCAAGTCAGTTATAACAATGAAATTAGAATCTTTATTAGAAATCAACAGCAACTTGTCTTTTATATAACACTGCTTGAAAAACACTGCAGTCGTAATTTCATTAGAAAGGTCTTATGTCCACTTAATTCCATACTGTATAGGTGATTGTTGGGGTGTTATGTAGTCTAAACTGTGTTTGTACAAATTAGAACTTGTGTGATGTTTGAGAATCCTGATCTGAATCAAATTTGTGGAATTTAGTTATTCATAATAAATACGAGTTAGTGATTCGGATGCCTTGGGTATAATGTGTCAGATATTCAAAGCAGCAAGCAATTACTAAGTATAGACAATCAGAAATAACTGAAATTAGCAATTTTCTTGCATGTTTGTTGCCTGGGTTTTCGTTTAAAATGAACCTTTTCTTGTCGGTGGACAGATGAAAATTCTTGGATTTTTACTTGACTATAAACTGATAAACCTTTATTGCGTGATTACCTACAAAGAGAATGAACTTCTTGAGGAAACAACTTTAAGCCGTTGTATTCTTCAACAAAAAATGAATGACGACAAAAAATACAAATGAAAAATGCCTTAGATTTCATTGAATATTAGGCGAGACCTTTACTTTTCTGCTGAAGTATGCCGAAATTCATAAGTGATTAAACTTTGACTAGCCATCGCTCAAAGAGAGATCTAGCATCTTCCAATGCTGCTGTACCTATGGCAAATCTAGCATTTTGTCTAACATTTGAGGTTTTCAATGAAACTTTACAAACCACTACGAAATATTTAGTTACCATGAAAAAATATGACG